CTCCAAATGCTGATTTGGTTGTAATGATGCTTACATTAATTATATATGTGACAATTATCACTATATATATGCAAATTTAATATTGATATAACTTGGTTGTCGGTACAACAGTGATATATTATTATTATTATTATTATTATTATTATTATTATTATTATTATTATTATTAAGTCATTGCAACACAACTCGTGATTGAACTGTTTTCAATTATTTTAATTTAATTTATTTAGTCATGCATGGTTATGGTGATGGGAACTTTTAGTATTGTGCGCATGATGTGAATATGATGACGTTTAACTGTTCTACGTCAGCGTTACATATGGAACTAAATTCCAGCGGAGTATATGATAATTTCCTGAGATGAAATTTACTGAACAATTATTTTCCCGTTTAATTCCAGATATTTAAAGAATTAGATACAAATTCAGATGGAATATTGAAGATGCCGGAGCTGCTGGTATTATCGAATGAGGTCGGTTAAATAATTTACAATACAGAGAAAATTAGCTTGATTAATTTCTAAAGATCGACGTTGATGGCGCGTTTTTGCATTGCCAAAATTGCCAGAATTTTGCTAAAATGGCCAGAATTTCGCTAAAAATGAGCGAAAATGTTTTAAATAGACGGTCAAAAAGATCGGCTCAATACCCCAATACTTCAACTGTAACCCATACGTGATTGCGATTGCGGGATTTTTGTGATATACATATTCATTAGTTGTTATCGCATTACACAGTACTATTTATTAAATCAATTTAAAATGTATATTTGACTAATCGAAGTAATCGAATAATCATACACAAACGGTTTTGTGTTTTACAGTGAATATCATTATGATATATATATATATATATATTACTTCTTCGCCTTTCAGGTTCGTCCATCTACTATAATAATTATATTTGACGTTTCTGTATTCATTTAAACATAAAATAACATGGTTTAACAACTCTTTTATTTTAGAGATGGAAAGAAGCTCATAAGGTATTTCTAGAATTTGAAGACATTTTTTACACACTCGAGTTACAAGGTGAACTTGATGACGACCAGTATGAAGAATGGTTGTACGAGGATTTATATGAAAAAGATGTCAACATTCTTAAAGATGAACTGTAATTCAAAATCGCTGGCATACACTTGTTATGAGTGCTTCGATTTGATCCGTTAATTTAGATATGCGCATATTTTTGTTATCACAATCCCAAATTTCTGTTCAGTATATGTTTTTGAGTAACGTTTAATGGGAGACACAAGCGTTATTGTGTGGACACAGACACGATAGCATTCACGTTTCGATGAGTAACTGCCTGATTTATATCTTCACACATAGTTTTACCCTGAAACACAGTTTAGCAAAACGCATTTATGATATATATTTGGTAATTGTCGTTCTACGTAACTTTTCGAAACAGCTACACGTGTTGAGAGCAATGCTCTTCTTCGATAGAATTTAATAACAACAGTCTAGTTATTTTGCATTTCTACAATATATATATATATATATATAACATCAAACTCTAAGTTAAAACACAACCCTGCCCCTCAGAAACCTGAAACACTTTTAATATATAATGAAGATGACATGTCAACAAATGGAGTTAAGATTCATGAGATGGACTTTATTGTACAATAGTATTTTTAGTCAAAAAAAAAACTGGAAAAATGAATTCCTTTAACATCTTTTATCTGATTTTATGTTAACCCGAAATGCCGTTAGAAACATAATTTCTAGAAGATAGGAAAGCTTTTGGGATAAGGTCGTTTTATTCAAAAAAGTGCCTAAGCTCTACATCTCTTACTTGAAATGGACTTTTCAGTCAATAAAGCGTACCGACTCCAATTGTGAAGAGAAAAACAGAATATGTCACAGGCGAATACACATTTCACGTTCAGTTAAAAGATTATACATGGTTACATTAATACAAACAGTTTGATATGAAAGAAAATATCTGACGAAATTGCGCCGGCGGAAAAATATACTACAAAGGAATTTTTGATTGAACAAAACATTTATTTTCTCTACTGCATAAATAAAGAAAATGATGTAATTTGCTGAAGAAATTGCAAGAAATGAGTGTATATAAATAGAATCACAAGCAATTTATTGAATAATAAAGCTTTAACAAAACAATGTGGCCAGTTTCTTTCGTCAATACAAATCATTAGGAACACAAGTCCCTATTAAAGACTTAGTGATAAAACACACATCTGCAATTCCATTGAAGTGATTATAACACATTGTGTACCCTTGAGCTGTATCAAGTATTTCTCAAACAAATATGTACTATAGAATTCCAGCCCTCGAAATGCAATGTTTTTACACAACATTATGTGGCGGCTATCCAGATGCAGACTTCTTTTTATTGATAATTAAGATTCACGAATTCCGAGTTTATTTTAACCCACGTAATACTAAAATGTTATGTCACATATGTTTGACCACAATTTATTTTCCTAGCTATATACTTACTCATACCATGAATATTCTAAATGCTAACATTCATGCTTATTTGTCACAGAAATGTCATTTTAGCTATTCTGGATAACAAATGGCTAAAAAGCAGATCAAGGTCCTCTAAATTAAAAATTGTGGAAATATAATGAGTTTAAGTTTTGACACAATCAAAGTTCATCTTCTGTTTATATATATATATATATATATATATATATATATATATATTTTTAGCTTCTAATGATCCACAGTATAATTACATAATATGAACTAATATGTATAAAATCTTCAAATATTAATATATATCTATCGAATATTAACAAGTTATGACAAAATATGATTTAATATTGATTACAACTGTCACAACAATGTGTTTCACCCATTACAAAGTGACGATGTCTTAACTGTTCCCGTGTATACTTAATTTGATTGAACGACCATACATTATAGTATAAGATTTAGTGGTATATATACACATGGTAACATGTGATGCACCCAGCACTGATGTAGGATAACTGCTAAACATGATTATGCATGGTTACACAAGTGTGGCACACAAGCAAATGTGGTTGTCAAACTAAAAACAAATATGCCATCAAAAACTTTCACAACTGTAGAAACAATGAAGAACACACAATTCGCAATTGTTTAATTTTATGGTAACAGTGAATGGTATAAAACTGTGTCGACCCATTTTGTTCATTACCTAATCTATGATATTTGTTTGTATTGTAATATTATTGAACATCTTAAAGCAATTAGTTGTTGAATGGATTACATGTTATTTGCGTATAAAAAAACAAGGCACAATATATGCCAGCGAATGTATCAGGTTTTCTTGTAATAGCTGTATGGCTAGAGGTGCCTGGAAGACTGCTTGTGATTTGATTACTGACCCCAGCATTTATTTCTGTATTTATCTATTACCATTGTAATATATGACTGTAGTATTAAGACCAGGAAATGTTGATTATAGAAATATCTATATGATATATAGATGTGATATGTGATCAGTTGATAAGGCATAAAAGAGATATGTAAATTATTCTACATTTGCAATGAGATATTCATAATAAATATATTGCTATAAAATGAACT